CCTGTGGTAATTCATTGGATTAATTCTTTATTCCTAATGAGCTCTGTTTGAATTATTCTTACTTAGTAATTTTTATTTAAATATTTCAATGCTTTCACATAAAATTACATTATAATTTTTTTAAATTAAATTTATTGGGGTGACATTGATTAATAGGATCCTATAGGTTTCAAGTGTACAGTTCCATGATACATGAATTGTATATTGCATTGTGTGCCCACTACCAAAAGGCCCCTGCTCAATGCAAAGCATGTCTAAGAGATCCGTGCATTGAAGCAATACTATTTAGTGGCCAAGACATGAAGACAGCCAAGGCATCCTTTGACAGATGACTGGATAAAGATGATGTGGTACACATAGACTATGGAACATCTTTCAGACAGAAGAAAGAGTGAAATGTTGCCATTTGTGACGATATGGATGGTACTTGAGGTTATTATGCTAAGTGAAATAAGTCAATCAGAAAAAGCTAAGAACCACATGATTTCACACATATGTGGGATATAAAACGAAAACCCAGACACAGACAGTAGTGTGGTGGTTACCAGAGAGGGGACAGGTAGTAGCCGGTAAGGGGGGTCAAATATATGGTGAGGAAAATTACATCATCTTAAAGGTTTAACCTCCTCTGTTATACATCTTTTCTAATTGTTATACTATCTTTTTCTTGTTACAGTTCTCCTTTTTTCAGGTTTGCAAAAGTCTGTCTATTTTACTGATTTTCTTCAAAGAACCAGCTTTTGATTATATCCATGAAACCTACTTCCTTATTTTTTTCTGATCCATTATTCTTTGTTTTTATCTCTATTTTTTAAAATAGTTTTTATTTATTGTTATTATTTTATATTTTGGATGTGTAGGTTGATTCCTTTAATGTTAGTCTATCTGCATTTAAAATTAATACTTTTCTATTTTAGCATATTGTAAACAATACTTTCACTACATCATGCAGGTATTTTTATAGGAAACACTAATAGTAGCATACTCTTAGAATAGTTAATCATTTTAGTTTTGTTTCATTATTACTATTTAGTTTTTGTTTTGTCATTACTATTTACTGATTCATTAAAAACAACATTGTCAATATGAGTGGATTGAGGAGTAGAAAAATGTTATCCTTCTTTACTATTGTGTTTAATTTTCTTACGTTGCCATCTGATGTATGGCCTGTGCAATATGCTTTTAAAATTATGTTATTGAGATCTACTTTTGGACTCAAAGGTCAATTTTTATTTATTTATTTATTTATTTAATCCTCACCCGAGGACATTTTTCCATTTTTTGTTCAGGTAGAGTGGGAGGGAGAGAGAGGAACAGAGAGAGAGAGAGAAACATCGATGTGAAAGGGACACATCGAGTGGCTGCCACCCGCACAACCGACCAGGGCCGGGGACAAACTGCAACCGAGGTACATGCCCTTAGCGGGAACCGAACCCGGGTCTCTCAAGACCGCAGGCCGACGCTCTAACCGCTGAGCCAAACCGGCTAGGGCCTGTGCAATATGCTTTTAAAATTATGTTATTGAGATCTACTTTTGGACTCAAAGGTCAATTTTTGAGATGATTACATCTTTTTTGAATGAATGCCTTTTCTTTTGATGCATTCACAGTATACAGTGAATATATTAGTTCAACACAATTTTGTTATTAATATAGCAATATCTCTACTAGGTTTTACTTTAGTTTTTGGCTATTTGATGTCAGTCACAGAGAAAAATTTGTTAAAATTTTTTACTATATATATTCTGCACTTGTCTATTTCTCACTTTTTTCCTCTTTTATATTTCAAAATATATATTGGTGAACTATACATTTTAGCTAAATATTAAAGCCCAATCCATTAAATTTTGATTTGAATCTTATTTTATCTGATATTACTTAGTGCTAAAATTGATTTCTATTTTGTGAACATTTATTGGCATATATAAAAATAGATATTTATATTAAAATGTTGAGATATTAAGTGTATATATGTATATATAATAAATTATATTAAAGTACTGAGATATTGAATGTAATTTTGCTTTCTTTTTATTTCCCATATATAAATTTTCATTTTCTCATATTATAGATTTTTCCTTTAACAATGTTACATAATTTGTGCCTTTTAATAAAGGAATTAACCTAATTTTATTTGTTAGGATGGGTATAAATTTGGGTTTATTAACATACTATACTATCATTTCTTTATACTTTTTGGAGGGCTTTGTATTTTTATCATTTTCTTTTTACAAAATTTTTTCTAATGTTTGAAGGGATATGTATTTTTTCTAGTATTCTTGTCATTATCTTCAATCATATAACACAGAACTATTATTTTTTAAAATTTTTATCTATTGATTTTGGAGAGAGAGAAAGGGAGGAAGAGAGGGATACACGGAGAGAGAAACATCAGTTTGTTGTTGGACTTATTTATATATTCAACCGTTGATTCTTGTTTGTGCCCTGACTGGGGATTGAACCCCAACCTTGGTGTATTAGGATGATGATCTGACCAACAGAACTAACACCCAATTATTTTGTGATCAATCTGTAAAGAATGGATATCTATATTTTTCTTCTGAATAAAACAAAAACTTTGCTATTAACCTTCTCCCCAGACCTTTTATCCATATCCTGTGTCAAACACCACTTAAGATCATCTGGAGAGTTAGTGACAGAATTATAATAATGTTTAAACAGTATTGTATACAGTATTATGCTTGAATATTTTTTCAGGTGAAACATCTTTACTTTGTCATTTTGACATATGAATGACAGTTTAGGTAATTATTGAAACAAGTTTAAATGTTTGGTTTTTTAAATACTTGTTAAATGTTTTCTTAGAGTCCTGAATTTTAGAAAAGAAGGCTTTTTTACTGTACAAGCTTTTAGGATATTTTATTTATCCATGTGAAGCTGGAATGTTATGATTTGTCTACTTGGGTGCCTTTTCTATTAACCCTGTAGTATTTAGTGTATCCTTCAATCTGAAGACTCTTGTTTTCAGCTCTTAACTATTTTCTTCTATTATTTCCTTGATTATTTCTGTTCTATCTTTTATTCCCTTTTGGAACTTTTAATTTATTTATGTAATTAAAAAGATATTTTAAAATCAGGTTTAGGTTCATTGCAAAATTGAGAAGAAGAAACAGAGGTTTTTATATAGTCCCTGCCCTCACCCATGCATACCTTTCCTCATTATCAATACCCTCTACCAGGCCCTGGCAGGTAGCTCATTTGGTTAGAACATTGTTCTGATACTCCAGGGTTGCAGTTTCAATATCTGGTCAGGGCAAATACAAGAAGCAACCAATGGATGCGTGGGTGGGTGAAGCAACATAGCAACGTCTCTTTCTCTTCCCCTTCCTCTCTCTCTCTCACTCCTAAAAAGCAATAAATAATTTCAAAAATTAAAGGAAATATCCCCTACTAGAGTAATATAGATGTTATAATGGATGAATCTACATTAACACATCATAGCTATCCAAATTCCATGGTTTACCTTAGGGTGATCTTTTGTGTACATTCTGTGGGTTTGCACAAATGTATAATCAAATGTATCATAATTATAGTATCATATAGAGTATCTTCACTGCCTTAAAAATCTTCTGTGCTTCACCTATTCATCCCTCTTCACCACTCACCCCAACCCCTGGCAATCACTGATCTTTTCACTATCTCCATAATTGTGCCCTTTCCAGAATGTTATATGCTTAGAGTTGTACAGTATTTGGACCTTTTTGACTGGCTTTTCTCACATAATAATACACATTTAAGGTTCCTCCTTGCCTTTTTATGGCTCGATAGCTCTTTTTTTTTTTTTTAGCATTGATTCATATTCCATTGCCTTGTTGTACCATAGTTTATTTACCCATTCACCTACTGAAATACCTCTTGATTGCTTTCAACTTTTGACACTTATGGGGGGAGAAAGCTGCTATAAACATCTGTGTACAGGTTTTTGTGTGGACATATGTTTTCAAATCTTTTGGGTAAATGCCAAGAAGTATGATTACTGGGTAATATGGTAAGAGTTCTTTTGGAATTTTTGTGTGGTAAATGTTAGAGTAAATAGTCTATTATGATCTTCATTTCTTTGTTTTTAGAATCATTCGGAGATGATACAGAATTCTGACATACCTTCCAAAAGCCACTCTTGGGTCATATTATTTAGGATCAATTGCCAGTTAGTTCTCTTACTTCTTAGCTGTGTGACCTGAGGGTTAATATTTAGTCTTTCAAGCAGAAAATTTCTCACCAATTAAAATAAATTAAAATGGAACTATCAATATTTTTTAGTAATTATTGTATAGATTAAGACAGATAATGCATAAAAGTACATAGTATAATGCTTGTTATGTAAGTTTTTGGTATTTGTTAACTACTATTCTTTTTGGTTAATTTTCCTGAAAATTTTTAAATTCTTAATATGGGCCAATAGTCTTTAATGTGGATATATGGATCATCTGTTCCGGGGGTTAGTGATTACCTCAGTCATGGTCCCACCATTTTTCTCCAAGTACTAGATCCACTGCTATAATTGGACTATAAATATCACTCTTACTAATGCTGAAGACAATCAGAGAAATAATAGTGTGGCCCACCTAGCTGTTTCAAATGCACCTCCCTGATTTCTCACCCCGAAAAGCCAGTAGCATCAATGATTGACTCCATACATGGTCCTCCTCCAGTGTTTCTGATTCCATCATGTTTCAGCCTGCAAGCATTTAGTGCTCGAGCATTCTCCATGTCTGTTTTTCTATATCTTTGGAATCAGATATTTTCTAAACTTCAGAATTTCTCCCTGCTTATGGACCACTCAAAATGCACCAAATCTTCAAAGTCAGTATGAATTTACTCTTTGTAAACATATAGTTTCTGTTATTTTATAAGATTTAGTGTAGCAGACTCTAACCCCCTTAAACCAATCTCAATAGATTGTTGGGAGTGTCCTGAAAATAGGTTTTTCAGTGTATATTTAATGTATTATCATCCAGCCCTAGGGTCCTATGATCTGTTCCATAGAAGTGGCTCTCATGGAAGCATACCCTTGGAAACAGGGATGTTTTTGAATGGTTCCCAGCTTGGTCACAGGCATCAGAGTTCCAGCCATGTTCCTGGGAAGGTTGGTCACTATTGCTTGAAAACCAATACAGACCTTCTCACTGTTTGATTTCAAGGAATCAAATACTTTTCCAAACCACTCTCCTGTTTTTCAACCCTTACAGTTCCTTTTCATAGACAGTAATATAGCTGCTTGATATTAGCCACTTAACATTATTATTAGTCATAGTTGACTGGCATTAGGCCCTGTTTCTTACAGCTCTACATTACAGCATAACATTTTCTCTCTTATGGCAATCGAGATAAAATGCAAAGAGCCCTTCCATATTGTAAAAATATAAGTTATTTTATAAATAATTATTGGGTGCTTAAACTCAATTAAAAAATCAAATTCCATTGAGCTATTCATTTTGAAAGGTATAATACAGGGACTAACAAATATTATTTAGAGATATTACATTGCTAAATACTTTAAAATACTTTTATTTTTTAATCCTCAAAATAACTTTATAAAAGTAAGCATACTCTCACTTTACAAACAGTAATAGATCAAGTTTAAAGAATACAAGTAGCTGTCAAAACACCAACAAAAGCTACATGATGGTTCAGGAATATAAAATCTGTTGGATAACAAAGTCCATTCATTCAATTTCACATAAGTAATACATTTTAAGCAAAGTATTTATATTGTTTCTGTTTAAGATTTACAAAGATATCATATATTATAACATAAAAATATATAGGATTACAAAATAGATTAAAACGTTATTAGAGAGTGAGATATTTTTACACTTATTTAAAATGTAAAACTAAGGACCTAATGAAAATTTCACATAAATCTTTAGCCTGAGACTAAAAAGAAAAAAAAAACAACTCTTAATAGCCTGACACACTCTCTTAATCTATCTACCTTTAATATTGAACTCTAATAAAGTTAATTCATTTTATTTTAAAATTAAAATACATAAAATAATTAACAGTTTAAATATTGTAATACATTTAGATTATTCTATTGCTTCTGCTATGAAACCAAATTTCAGAATATAGAGGTTAAAAGTACAATGTCTGCAAAATTAATTTGTATTATTAGGCAAGCTGTTTAAGCACTGAGTGATGCTAATACATTCAGGATAGTATCATAATATTTGTGGCAAACAGATTTGAGCTTTCGTACAAAGAGGGAAATGAGATTCCCAGATCAATTTCAAACTGTTGTATTGTTTGAATGATTTCAAATGCCTCCTCTGGGACTCTTTAGATTGTGGGGTTCAGAGCAACTATGCCTTTAATACATGTGGACATTTTCAGAATGTAATCATTTGTAAACATGACTTATATGATTTATCATTAGTTAAGAAAAATATTCATTGGAAAATCAAATAATGAAAATGCCATGTGTCTCTATAGCTTAATAACATCAGTACAAATTAGGTAACTTGATGGCAATTACATATGTGGATTAACACTAAAGAAAGTCAACACAGGCTACTCTTTGAAATGTTTTCATAACTTAAATGGAGTCAAAATATACCTATTGAATGAGTTTAACCAACAAATCAGTTGTGGGAGTATATTCCTTAACAAAGTAATTTATTTTATTTTGTTTTTAAAAATTGTATTCTTCAATAACTGAGCAGAAATGAATATGGTGTCTTGCAATCACACAATATATGGGTTTTAATTTAGATGATAGAAATAAAGACTTGTTTTATAGTAATTCAAAGGAAAAAAGAAATATTTTAATGAGGAATGTTTGTCCCATAGGATAGAAGGTGAAAATGTTTATTTAAGGATTTCATGGAGAGTACAATCGTGTTGGATGATGTAAGTGATTTATACTTTGAGCTAAAGGTAAAATCTTTCCGTCACATCTTGAACCAATTAAGTACTTAATTTTCCAAAAGATTAAAATAAATTTAAAAATATAAATATATTTTAACCAAAGAGTTTTTATTTTTCCAAAGCCTAACTTGAACTTGTTAAACTTATTTGACTTATATTAAATCATTAGTCACTATTGCATGCCTTCTAAGGTATTGAAGGCATTCTGTTTAGTTCAAATCAACCAGTAGCTTTACTTAAACTTAAGAAAGTGAAAGCATTCTCAAAAATAATCTTGCCAGAGAACTAAACTGTTAACTTCCATTTCAGCTGGCAGATCCTGTACTTTATTGTTCTCAGTGTACTAACATACAATTGTGTAACTGCTTTCCCTCTGGAACCTCTGTAAAAATAGATGCATATCTTAAAAGCTGCCTAAGGAAGCAGAGTTTTAAGTAAACAATATAATAACTTGTCTTAAGGCTAATCAGAGTTTTCAAATATCAGAGAAACAAGAGAAGCAGTTGGATTGAATTTTTAGTTACTACTTCTTTAAGTGAGACAAATATTGTGTAAATCTTTTGTAATGTAAAGTAATATAGCTTGTTTGAAATTCTCCTAATTATGAAAGGTTAGAATTTTATGTGTATATTCCAGTTCTTCTTTTAAGTGTCTCTCACATACACTTTAAGCTAATGGACAATACATTTTTTAATGCAATGAATCACAAATAAGTTAGTAAACACAGAAAGCATTTTGAGAAGTATTGGAATATAATAGATATGTAGATAATGATACATCTCAATTGATACTTTGCAATAGTCATCCACCAAGCAAAGTGTAAAGCTTCATTGAACAAAAGATAAAGTTAATACTATCTAATAAGAACAGACTATTATAGATCAGTGAAACTGCAAAACAGAATTATAAGACAAGGGGCAAGCCACATTATCTAAATTAACATTTTTCCAGCATGAACAAGAAGGGCCACTGTAGAAAAGCAAGAGCTAAATGGTATGGCCTGCATTTAGTCAACCTGAAGTAATTATTAATTTATGGTTGTCTGTGATTTTAATGAAAATGAAAGCTGTGAGGGAAGAATTGAGGGAGATAATGTGCCGTGAAATTGAGTTTCATTTATTTAGGGGCCACCTTTTCTTTTTTTGTTGTTGTTAAAGGAAAGAAAGTTAATGCAAGATGTCCACATTAAAATTTCACTAGGATTATGTAACCACCCAGTTAAATGGTAATCATTATGTTCGAGGCAGAGCTAATGCAAAAGAAATTGAAGCCTGGATTTAGGGCCTATTGATGAGGACAGAATAAAAAACCACCAACGGGCTACATTTAAGGTAAAAGTTATAATTATTGTCTTTATAAATAGGATGAATCCAATAACTATATTAACAGACATTTTATTAATGTCATCATGAGAATGTCCCTTTTGATGATGTCATTATTGGAAAGAATATATTTTAAGAGTAAAGAGAAAACCACAGGAGATAAAACAAATAATCAAAATGTAACCTCTTTCTTTGACCTCAAACAAAGTGTTTCTAAATAGTCATAAGAGTGACAAGCCTTCCCGAGAATAACAGACATGTCTAGTGTAATAGTGTGGAAAGAACAGCAGTTCATGAGCTGAATTCTGTAGCCCTTTTCTACAAAAATAACAACTCTGTTCCTAGAAACATCTCCAAACTGAAAGTCAAGTGACAGGTCTAAATTCCTCTTACTAAGTCAGGTAGGAAAACAGTTTCTTCTTTCATAAAATAAATATTTATTCCAATGTTAACAAATAATAATAAGATAATCTAAAATTGGTATCATGTCAGCATTTATTCCCATCATAGATGTGAAAATTTACCTTTGCTTCAGAAAACCTTCAGTAAATTTCATGGAATTAAATATACACAAGATATTTGATTTTCCTTGAAAATATTATAAAATGTATTTAAATGCATAGATGTTATGTTGTACACTTTTAGATTAGATATAAATTTATCTGATAAGATAATATTGACTATAGGGCATTGTGAGAAAAACAGAAAATGCTTCCTATTGACCTTAATCAAAAAGTCAGCTAGTTATTTCTCCAAAAAAATGAGTTTGTTCAGGAACGACAAAAAAATTACAATCCAGAATATGTATCCATGGTGGACCATGTGCAAGTCTGCTAAAACAAAGGAGAGAAAACTCTTGTAGAAAGGAAGAGGAAGTTGGGAGGGCTATTAACAAACAAGAGTTCTTCCTGTTGTGCTTCTCAATCAACATATCACGTGGAGCTCCCCCTTCTGGCCTTCCTACTTTATTTTTAAAAAGGCTTCAGTTTACTCATTCTTTTACATTTCCCTCTTTTTATCAAGATCTTCTCTAAAAATAGTTCACCAAGAGTCAGGTGTTTTCTGTTTTTGTTTGTTTGTTTGTTTTGTTTGTGTCCCTTGATATCAAGAAGGGGGTTATGTCCCACATCAGAGAGAGCGTGCAAAGACTTAGAAACCTATTGTGATCACATTTGAGTAATAAAGGAGGGGGTCGATGAGGATGAGATGTCTCTTAGACATCTCTCATTTAAAGTCTGCATCTTAGAAGAGATAATATAGCAAAGACACACTGTGAACAGCAGTTTAACAAGTGATTTGGGTAAAGATATATAATTCAGGAATAAAACATGAAGCAATTAAACAGTATTATTATCTCAAACAAAACTGTTTGGAACAAAATAGCTTATCAGTAATACAGCCTGTATGTTGCAAATTCATAGACTATGAAAGTTTAGAAGAGTCCAGAGTCAGTTAATAGTCTTGATAAAAATAAAAAGACTGTGTGTATATTATGCCTTTTAACTCTTCAGAAAAGGGAAATGAAAGATTAATTTGTCACAAGATTGTGATCGGGTCGTTTCTGAATGGCCGTAATCAAAACGAGAGTTTTTTTTTCCCTTTTGGAAGGGATAAGAAAATGTAAACAAGGACATTGTCTTTCCAGAAAAGAGAAGAAAGAAGCAACAATGAGAAAAAAGTATAACTTTTTTCCCAAAATATCCTGCTCCAGACATGTTGGGACAACTGTCTCATCAGATGTTGACTGCTTCAATTCCAAGAAATCTGTAATTTCAGGTTACCAGATGGTGTGCAGGTCCAGCCAGGATCAGAGACTTTCTATAAATGTGTCACAGGAATTCAGGAGTCTATTTGCTGGAGTTTTGTACAATTGCTTAGAAGCATCTGAGAGAGGCCTTTTCAGTAAGGTTGAAAAGAGTCTTTCTGGAGATGTCTTTTCCAATAGACACAATCTTCAGGTTGCAAAGTGTGATGCTTTAAGACTGTCTCCTGAGAGTGCCCTGTGAAAAAAATTGCTCTATTATAACATGGTTATTTTTAAAAGAAGCAATTAAATTTTTACAGTATAGAGTATGTCTCATTTTATCAAGTGTGGACCAAAAGATGCAGGAGCCAAGTGCATAGGATGTCCTGTAATTACCTCAAAGGGTAAGAGTTTATAAATACTGCTAGGAGTAGATCTGAGATGTAAAATGTCCAAGGGCACTGTTTTTGCCCAGGGTATCTGGCAGACCTCTGCAAATTTTGCCAAGTAAGTCTTAAGAATGTCATTAATATGTTCAACTAAACCTGAAGACTGAAGATGGTAAGCACAATGAAAGTGTTGTAAGATCGGCCAAATAGCACAGACTCGTCAAAGCATCTGAGCAGTAAAATCGGTTCTCTGATCATATGCAGTTTGAGAGGAATCTCCAGGTACAGATATTATTTTACAAAGGACTTTAGTCACAGAAGAGGCAGTGGCCTATCTACGAAGGAAAGTTTCAGTCCAGTGAGAAAATGTGCAGATCATGACTAGAACATATGTATATCCATGAGAGGGGGGAAGCTGTTTAAAATCCATTTGTTAGACCTTGAATAGTCCATTAGTCCAAGGGCAGTGCAAACAGGCTTCCCTGAGTTGTATTTCAGACAAGTGAGACAGGCACTTTCTGTGGCCTTTTACTATTTCCCCACCAGTATTGATTCATGAGTGCTCTCACTGTCAGTGGACCAATGGTTTCAATGCATGTGCGATATTTGGAGAGGGAATTTTAGTCTGTAGTAGGACTGTTTGTTATTTGGCCAGAACTGGAGCTTTCTCTTCTTTATCAAATCAAATATTATTGGATTTCCAATCTTGTTTTTCATTTCTGTGGCCAACTGGTGGGCTTTATACTTCTTTACCTATGAGGTATTGATTCTGGAAAAAGGTTTTGAGGAATTTATTGGATCTTGATAGAAGGTGCATTGTAGATTCGGCCAATTTCAGTTGAAGATTTTGCCCATGAAGAGAATGGCAGCTGATCCACGAATAACACATAATCAGCGCTCCCAGATTCCACTGTGGTGTCATCCACAGGAGTGGAGCAAATAAAAGATGTTAAAGGGTCATCTAATTCACCCGATTAGCTACTTTGATGCTACTGTCAAGTTCTAGAATCATTTCCCCTCTTTGGGAGAAATAAATTTTGGTATGATACTTTTCTAAGACTTCTGGGCCTAATAAATAAAGAGGGGTGGAGAAATTAGGAGAAAAGGAAGAATATCTCTCAAAGGGCCTAAACAAAAATGAATAGGTTCAGCATCAGAAATCTGTTGAGGTTTATTAGAGATCCCCACTATTTGAACTGTCTTCGTGCTCTGAGGTAGGGACTGCTTCATTGCATGGGGTTGAGCACTAAGAACATGGCTCTCTTGTCAATACAAACAGAGTAAGATTCACTTCCAATCTAGAGAGTGGTTTCTCTGGGTCAACTAAGAGGGAGGATGGGGGATAGCGCCTATAGTCCCTTGGAGAGCCACCATTGGAAATTAGGAGGTTATTGGAAAGGTTGCTTAGAAGAAACAAAGGCACCTGATGTGAGCAAATCAGTGACAACCTCTTTTTCAATGCCCTAGCTCTTTGCAATAAGAGCAAAAGATAGGGGGCCTTTGGCTTTGCATAGGGACCTTCATTTGCCTGCGTTGAAAACTAAGAAGTTTAGCTGTCTTACTTTTAGGTGACTCACTTAGGGTATGAGGAAGCTAATTAGCCAAATTAACCAAATCTATAGTTTTCCTTTCCATTCTGGTCCTTTTAACTAGAAGAAAAAGGTCTCAGACCATCAGTAAACAAAGAGTTAGAAGCTACCTGAGTAGAATCAAAATCTGGAGGGAGACCAAATTTTCTTTGAAATCAGTCTGTTGTCAGTTATAATAATCATAAACAGGTCCATCAGCCATTTACGGACAAGGCTGAATTTTGTTTCAGTCAACAGGCTTAGGAAAGGCTACTGGATTGCTCAGTAGATGTCTCCAGGCAGTGTGTCAGCCCTTTGCCATAAGCTAGAGTTTTGTTTTTTAAACCCCATCCAGTATGTTCCCATCGGGCAAGCTTTACCCAATATTTGACTTGGCCCTGACCAACAGGCATGAACTAACTCATATACATCTGAGAAACCAGGTTGGTAAGTTTGAATAACTGTGTGAAATTCTCCAGCAAACCTATGGGGGTATGCAATTTGTTTAGAAAATTATTTAGCTTTGGATTGCAATTTGGCCTTAGTCCAGGGAATATAAGAAACTTGGGGTTTGTTAGCACCCTTAGAAGACTTAACTTTAAAAAACTGATAAGTTCAGAGGAGGGGGTGGCATTGGAGGTGGGCCTGAAACAAAGGATTTAAGGGAGAGGAAGAAGACAGCTTGAGAGGAAGGGACTATGAGGCTTTGGAAGCCATTTTGTCCTTTTCCAACTGTTTGTTTACCTTAGTTAATTAAAATTATATTTTGTATTCAGCTGGTATAGCTCAGTGGTTGAGCATTGACCCATGAACCAAGAGGTTGCAGGTTTAATTCCTGGTCAGGGCACATGCCCAGGTTGTGGGCCCAATCCCCAGTGAGAGGCATGCAAGAGGCAGCCAGTTGATATTCTCTCTCATCGATGTTTCTATCTCTCTGTCTCCCTTCCTCTCTCTCTAAAATTGAAAAAGAAAGATTATTTAAAAATTGTTTTTTTATTTTGCAAACAGGAAATTTTAGACTTCTGTTAATGTTTGGAAGCCTCAGAAAACCAATTAAAATACAATATTCCATACAGTTTTGTTAATATCAGAGCTACCATATGTCCAGATTGGGTTGAAGAAAAGTAAGTTTGGGGATTAAAAGTCTCCCATAATGACCATTAGTATTCTAAATTGTTTTTGTTCAAGTCTATCTATTTAGTTAGAAATGAGGGGGGGTTGAGATTCGGTCGGGGCGGGGGTGGGGTGAATATGGTTTTTTAACGTAAAATAGTTTAGGGTCCC